CATTTAGTGGGTATAATGATCCTTACCATTTAATGTTTATATTAATCCTCACTGATTTATCCCGCTATATATATATATATATATATATCCATCGTGTTCCCAATCTCAATCTCCATGTTATCCCCACGTCGTATCACCTTTTCATCCCCACATTTGGGTAAACCCCACGTTTGATTAGAAGTTCCACTTTTATCGTTTGGCATAAATGGGAACATTAGTAACTAATCGTTGGTTATTTACCAACCAAGAAGATAGGGTTTAGGGTATCCAGAGGTACACCAAGCCGTCAAAAAGGCTAGATGATAGCCCCCCTTGTGTCAGGTACCCCTCGCTCGCAGCGCCGGCCTGGTTTGGTCGCCGTCATCAAAATGGGGATCTCATGGGAATATCATCGGAATATGATGGGAGTATGATGAGGATATGAGGATATAGAATCAGTGATGATAATCTCTCTCTCTCTCTATATATATTATATATGATAATTGATAATGATACTGGATGCGGATAATCAAACGTGACAAATGATGTACATTGTGGGGATAGAGTGGGGAGACCTTCATAAAAAGTGAACGTGGGATTTGGGAGAGTTAACTATTCGTGGATTCATTCCCAAATTATCAGGTATAATGGCATATACAAGCAAAACTATGATATGTTTTTTTTCTTAAGCTGGGGTGATTTGCCTGCAATTTGTGGTGTTTTTTCATGGACATCTATTTTCTAAAACTGTGGAAAAAATTGGCTCCAGTTTTGAAACAAACACTAGATACAGTATACACTTGATCTTTACCAGAGTAGGTTGAATTCCCAGATGGTAGGCAGGCCAACTGCCTGATTCATTCTTTCCTCACTGCCTGGTTGATTACCAGCGGGGTACTGTACCTCTTGAACAAGCACAAAGTAGATGATAGTACATGATGGCAAATGGTCTACAAAATGGACCCATCTATTTTCTTCAATGGACGTTACTGGTTTCGGGTCTCAAGAACAGAAAAGCAGCCACGGGGCCATAACATATAGATCATGGAGATGGGTCAAAACCTAGGACGTGCTTGGAAGTGCAGTTCCTCTTATAGATGGATACATAACTATAGTTAGAGATGATTTGAGATAGTCATAGATAGTTATAGATAATTATAGGGGGCTATGTTCCAACTTATGGGGGTTTGGAACCATTCTTAAGTATACCGATTTGTAACCTCAGCTGCACCCTCCAAGTGAGATTTTGGTCGACTTTTTTCCCATGTATTTGGGGGATGAACATCCAGCTTATGAACAAATTTAAGATGTGAACAGCCAAGGTAAACCTCGAACCGGATGATGCTTACTACAACCTGCCTGGTACGGTTGGTTACTGGGATGGTTTATATCATTACCCCATGGCAAGGGTGAACGGGTGAGCTGATCCATACAAAACTTCCCACGCAGTGTTGCCAGTTGCCAGGTTGGGACCATGAGGAACTCTATGCATCCAAGTTGCAATGACCGTCGATTTGTTTTTTCTGATGGTTCATGATGAGATATGAATAGATATGCTATTGAGGTATTCAGATGGACAAAGGGATCAGCTATGATTCTGTCTGTCTTTTTGGGGAGCCCTGCAAGTGATGCAAGGAAGAAGCACATTGGGAGGATCAACCAAGAGGCACCAGGTATCATGGGATATCCGGAGTGCAACTCATGAGATAGTTGAGGAACTGGACGATGAACTGGACCACACCTATGTCTTTTCCCATATCTATGTATTTTTCCACATAAACTATATCTGGTCATTCAATATAGCAACGCAAAATCACCATTTTGACCAGAAACTCATCGAACTAACTGGGCCATGACTTCCATAGCTGCAGCAAATTACCGGAGGGTTTTTCGTGAAACTCCATGAATCTTCTGCGAAGAGTCCATGAAATATCCCATTGTATATCCCATGAAATACCCTATGGTAATTTAACATAGCTATTGAAAATGGCCATTTATAGTGAGTTTTCCCATTAAAAATGGTGATTTTCCATGGCACTGTTAGTTTACCAGAGGGTATCCGCTCTATATATCCCCATTATACCACCATGTTTGGTGGTTAAATCTCAACCGCTAAACTTAGGATCCGGCGACGGATTGCTGGCGATCTGGAAAGACCTTCTGCAGGACCTGAGAGCCCCAAGATGGAATGGTTCCATTTATCACTAGTTCAGTGGGATGTTCCTTTTCTAGCTGCTAGCTTTTTGGGGGTGGCCATACATATATATATATAATCACATATATATATATACATATCTATACACTCTCTCGAAATGTTACTGTGATCTTGTGTTTTACCTTTCAACTACTTGACATGATGTGGTTGCCGTTATGATGTGGTTGACATGATTGCGTGAAGACAAACCATGACCATTTGTCCGTAACACGGAAGTTTGCCAACTAAACTTCATTTGACTATCCCATTAGAATTGCAATATTAGGAGTGCCATATCCATAATTCATTGGTTGAATGCCAAGTACAACTTAGTTGTTGTAAGTACAGTAAATCCCCACTGGAATGTGGATATTCACCGCTGTATACCAAGAAGGCGCGCCCCAGTTGTAAGTTGGTTTACAACCAACACCATCCAACTAAAGATATATCCACTATGAATCCACTCATTAGCCTAGTGATAAGCCAACTTACCTATCATCAATATTCATCAATCACATCTAAATCCACATTTTTGGTGTTTCATCCCGTGACATTTGGCATCCTTTAACCCCACATCATCCCATCTCCCAATCAATCCAATCCCCTTCTAGGCACGCAGGCTTCACGGATGGTATCGAGCTCTTTGACTGCAAACTCTTCAACATCTCAGCGGTTGAGGCCTGCGATCTAAAGGGGGAGGGTATGATGCCCAGCAGCCTTCTGTTCCCAATGTCTGAGAGTATGTTATCCCACATGCCCTCCTGGTGTTTGCCTCTGGGATGCAGTGATCACTGAGCCGATCCGCTGTTAAAATATGACAGGCATTGATGCTTCGGCTCGAGGATCGAGCCGATTCTTTGGTAAGACCCCTGTCAGATCCAATAACTGTTGATTTAATTTCGGCGGGCATCATTTTCATTGCAACTGGTCACGACTTTCTTTTTTTGGTGCTACCCCTTACTTAATCAACGAGGCTTTATTTTATTCATATAACGTTTTTTGTGGAGCCGATTCCCTCGGGTATTTTGCGGGGATAACCGGGCTGAGCATCCAGTCACTCGGTGATACCATTGAACCTTCCATGGAAGTCAGAACCTCATTCGCATTCATGCTGGATTTCTCCTTTTAAAGGCTTACCAAAAAAAATACGCATCAGTTTAGTATCCACTTATATAATCATACATATAATTATATATATTGTTTCATACAATCACATACAATTACAACATAATGATATTGTATGTGCATGTATATGTACATCTACACACACACACAGAAAGTGTGTATATGTATTTTTCATCAGTGGAACATTTTCTGGATAAAATGGAGCTACTGAGTAGCAGTAGCTCATATTTTTGGGCGACTTGGCGCTGGGGATATTTTTATATCGCCCAGGCGCGAGAAATGGAGCCACGACAGAGGATGGTGCGCTGATCTGTGGAGATTGTGGAGCCAAGGGCTGACGGGACCAGGACATGGTACCTGCCATGGCGGGTTAACATAGGTAACCCGGAGAAATTTCATAGCCTGTGAACTGGGATATTACTATCACATATTCACCATGCCAACATGGGGATGACAGTGATGACCCCCAATGATTTCCACAATAGGCTTGAGATGGGTGGCTCAAGCACGAGATTGATCCTCACCCTAGCGACCTGACCAAGCCTTGGAGTCTCATTAGATTTTGTTTCACAGATGGGGGGTTTCCAATGGGGGTACCCCAATAGCTGAATGGTTTATTTCATGGAACATCCATCAAAAAACACCGGATAATAACTCCCCCCGTGACTTAGGAATATGCGAAACCACCCTGAAATCTGTTAATTTTCCAGGGGTGAGACTCAATTTGTGGGACTACATCGATTATGTATTCGTTGGGTGAAATTCATGGAAGGCACACTGTTTAATGGTGTGAGGGTTCCTGATTTTGCAGCACCGGGATTGAAGATGATTGAACACTAATTCAGGTGACCCCGGTGACCCCAAGTCAATCTCCCAAGTCTGGTATGAATCATTGGAATCTTGATTTGGTTTTACTTCAGATGATTTTCCAAAACTCAGATTATTTTTCAATTTTATTATCATTGAGTATCCAAATATAGATTGTTCTGATTGATAATCCAGCTTTCGACTGATTATCCAAATATAGCTGTTTTGAAAGTCATGATTTTCCAGCTTTTCGAACTGTGAAAGGCATTGGAGGTGGCCTATGATGTCATGCATCGAGCAGGTTTCAGGCACACCGGTTTTCAAATCTGGAGAAAGAGGCATGGATTGACCTTCAAGAGTATATACAGAAGTATATAATAGTATATATATATATAAGACAAATTTTTTTTGGAGACGAATTGGCTTTGTTAGAAAGTTAGACATGTTGGGAGATGGGTCAAACCGGCCTCGGTCCAGGAAGTCTCGCCTGTCCTCTATCACCGGGGGCATCTATGTGGGAGCCGAGAATTGGAGCGAGCACGGGCCCCGAAAAAAAGGGACGGCCAAGTCACCAAGTGGATGATCTTGGAGGATTTACTTGGTGCACTTTGAGCGATAAGTGGATATATATATATATATATCATATATATCATATGTATATATATATATATATCATATATATCATATATCATATATATATATATATCATATATCATATATATATATATATCATATATCATATATATATATATCATATATATCATATGTATATATATATATATCATATATATCATATGTATATATATATATTTATATATCATATATATCATATGTATATATATATATATCATATATATATATGTATATCATATATATATATATCATATATATATATATTTATATGTATATCATATCTATATATATATATATCATATATATATTATACAGTATATATCCCAATTTATGGTGGTGAAATCACCATGGCTGTAAAAACATCCACTTCGTTTTCTATTTGCATGAGTTGTCTTGCACTTAGAATATTCTTCACTGAAAATACTACGAACACCATGATTTCTTAAAGTGTGACATTTGTGTCTATGGCAATTTATGGCAATGTAATTTCGGAAACACTGGGTACTAAAGTGGACATAATTGCGTACTGGGTTAGGTTCTTTGGATATTCTAAGTGTCAATATTCTAACTGGAGATTCGTATTGTTCTAACTGCATGGGTTAATTTCTGGAATCTCTGCTAGGCTGCTACGACAAAACATTTACCTGTTGAACTGGCGATGAATCCCAGAAACATTTTTTTGGGAGGGTTAACCATGATTTTCCTACCTTTGATGGTTAAAATCCGCCATGAATTTGGCTGAACCGTTCCATGGCGCTTTCCATCAAGGTGGAACAGCTTGAGCACCACCAGTCTGGGGCCATGTTTCAGACTTTGATGAGGCCAGTAGAAGCATGTGAATACATGCGTCCAAACATGGAGTGTAGATTTTTGTATACCGTTTTCCTTTTTTAAAACAACGCAGACGCAAACGCCTGATACCGAAGGAATGTATTGGTTCCATTCCAAATGCAGCTATGCATTCGAGGTGCTGTCAAGAGTCAAGAGCATGTTTGATCCGCATTGCAAAGGAAACCAAACTGAGTCCATCGGCAAGTGAAACGTGGTCCAAAAACGCTCACCCATAACATGGCTTCAGAGTTTCGAAAGATCTCTATCCCATTTGATTGTGTGAAAACAATCCATATCTGCGAGACTTTGCTTCCATCTTTGACACATAACTTCGGCAGAAACGGGAACCAAAGATGCCAAGGACCAAACAATTGAAGGGATTACATCAAATTACACCATTTCTATCCATTTCTGGGTTTATAAAACCATTTTTTGTTTGAAATCTTATGGCCAGTCGGAACCTGCTTAGTGGTTTCATGTTTGATTTTCAAGCCTACCAATGAGATGATTCCAATTGAGCAGATATTTCAGATGGGTACCAAGATTATCCAATCACCCATAACAACTTCAAAAGAGAGTTACAGACTATTACAGATAAAAATTATCCCAACCTGAAAGAAAAGTTACATCATATTACAATATATCACAGCTAAAATCCAGCTGAACCACGTCCAAGGCTTTAGCGCCACGGGTCGAGCTGCCTCCATCCTGGCGGGGCGGATCAGTTTCGTACTGGGCTTGAAGGTGGGCTTCGGCGTTGGGCGCCATGGTGCCGGGGGGAAGCCCCCAAAAAGATTGAAAAAAGGTCGAATTTGCTTACGCCTGACAGCCGGGCGCCAGCCGAGCAATGGTGTGGGAAGATTGGGCCGAGATTCTCCGCACAAACCCAGGGAGGGCTATGTTGAACTGAGGCAGGCATAATGCGCAGTGCTTGCCTGTATGGAAGCAGTCTGGTCGGGCCAAGTCGGGCCCATGTTGAGCCATCTTGGGCCCATCTTGGGCTTATGTTGGGCCAAGTCGGGCCCATGCTATGTTGGGCTATGTTGGGGTCATCTTGGGCCCATGTTGGGCCTATGTTGGGCCCATGTTGGCCTATGTTGGGCCTATGTTGGCCCATGTTGAGCCCTCTTGGGAGCTATGTTGGGGCCATGTTTGGGCCATCTATGTTGAAATGATCTTGAGATGCAAATTCTTGCGCCCCGGGCCCCCAGCGAAATACACCGTAAATTACAGGGACTTCAGTCGATACAGAGTGGTATGGGGGTGCGTCGGTGGCAGGGGGCGCAGCGCCTATAACCTTCGGTTACCAACCGAAGGCCTCCGGCAAGGACACGGGCCCGTGGCCGGCGCCCGGATTTCAGGGTTTTCTATCTTTCATTGGGTTGCCAGCGAAGCCGTTGACCTATTTTTTCCATGGTTCTCAGGGCCCAGCGGTTGCGCTGGACACCGGCGATTGCTCTGGCCTCACGGCGGCCGCTGGGCTGGCTCTTTTTGTGGAGGGAAAATTGAAAATTGTGGCTCACCAATCATATAGAATATAATATATCATATCATATATCTATCCATTATTCAAGGAAGTAAATTGTCCAAACAAAGAGGTCACATCATAATTTTCCCCCACCCTGTGGTTATCATTTACGTCTACACATGGAGGTTTCCAAGGTCAACCCCCAAATCATCCAAGTCATGGATGACTATTTTACGATTGAAACAACCATGGAGCCATGGGATCCCCCATTGGTAAGAAGGAAACTAAGGAGCTAAGGAGCTGGTATCAATATTCTCCAGTAAATGGGGAGCCAAGGAGCTACTAAGAGTTTCCAAGCCACATCATAGATAGATGTGCATTCACATATATATATATATATGTATATATATATATGTATATATATATATATATGTATAATAAACAAAGAGATGAGGGGATAGGAACCGATAATATGATAAATATTAGATATGCATATATATATATACATATTATATCCAAGCATATGGAGATAATGGGGATATCATGGGAAATATCACCAAGGATATGATTTTTGGATTATTTTGGGCGTGTCTGAATCTTATGATTAACCATTGGATTGGCGGGGTACTGGGTAGCCTATTTTTCAGAACCCATCTACCCGCAAGATCCATTGTATCAAATATCAACCCCATCTATAAACACGGATGACCTACTATTGATGCTATTCCATAGATAACATGTAGTATTTTGGATTTGCCGAGTCGGTGATTTCTGAGATTTGCCCAGCTAATCTACCATATGATCTACTGGGAACTGGTTTGAACATCAACCTGAATTCCTGAATGTACCAGGGTTTCACCAGCGAAATCGAATCAAACCAAATAGGAGATTAACCAGCAAAAAGAATGGTTTCCAATGCTTATGAAATTATCGCAAGTATTGTGCGTACTAAAAAAGGATAGTAAAACCCCAATTGATTTGGGCCCCTTCATTTTGGCTGTGGGTTTAACATCAATTGGGAAAGGATTGGTTATCCGCAAACAAAATCAGGGAATTTCCCACAATTCCAAGATTCTATGAGTGGAACTGCATTGAGCCCCGAAATTGGGGATGGTTGAAGACTGAGCATGACCAAATTTCAGGGTCCTTGGTTCATTTCACCCAGCATTTTTGAGCCAAGCCAGCTGCCAAGGTTCATTTTGGAGCCAAAGCCGATGCCTCAACGGTGACGGGATTGGATCGGATTGGCAGAGGAGTTTCTGCTGAAGCAGTAAACAGCCCGCTGTTTTGAACACGTCGATCACGTTGAAAGCCAGGGATGTGCGAAGGTGTTAGTCATTTGGGCAAGAATAGGGGGTACGCTCTACATTCCGCGAGCTACTGAATGTGTAACCTCGGGATGCAATCTGGACAGGCGCTCTGGCAGGGAATTGACATGGGAATGAATGGCTCTTCACTGTATAGACATGTTTGACTGGCTTTGGCCTTGACCACTGTGGCGAAGGCTCCAAATTGGCAGAACCCTTCAAAAGGGATGTCCAAGAGTGAATTCAATGGGTTGAAGATGGTTGAAGGGAAAATCTACAAGACAACATTTTTTTCTAACCATGAAATATGGGGTTTCCTACAAAATTTTCCGACAAACCAACAGCCTTGGTCACCAACTTCTTTACATAGTTGTTTATTTCATTTTCAGCCTGGAACAGATTTCCCAGAAAGGATGCTATGAATGATCCAGGTAGTTCAATTATTTACGGCACCCCAAGTCTATGGCTGTTGTTTTCCGCTGTGGCTCAGCTTAGGCACTACAGTCCGGGGCCACAGCAATCGCCAAAGGGTTTCTATACATTTCTATTCCGTTTTACAAAATACGATAACTTTTGTCTTGTAACTGGGATCATGTCCCTTCCATTAAACCTCTTTACGAGCAACTCATTTTTGAAGGATAACTATAGCACCTGACGAGTATTGCGGATTTTGTTTAAAGCTGCTGCGAAATGCTAGACCGTGTTCCCATGTATGGAACATTTGGATTTGTACAACCAGAAGCTGGCCAACTATAGTAACTCGGCTCCTGGTAAGGTCAGTGTTGGAATCGATATTGCACATTTTGGAATGCGCTCGGTATTCAAGCGTGGTAGACCCTGGTTTGTTCATACCAGTAGGATTTATGACCGAGGTGCAGCAATTTACATAGATTTATGTTCAAGATTGGAGACCGTGGCGACCCAAAAGTAATTTTGTTTTTTCGAACAATGTATGAAAGTCAATTGGTTTGGATGTTCCATGAATTTTAAGACTTTTAAGGGTCTCAAAAATGTGTTCCTCTTGAACATCTTCAGTTTTACATCATGAATCCTTGTGGGGCCCAGGGAAGATGGCTTTCAAGCAGTGCCAGAGGCTGCTTGGCTGTTGGAAAATGTGAAGAATCTCCATGTTCAGCTGACAATGGTGGAATGACATGGAATTAAATAAAGCTTCTCTTCCACTTTCTGATATTTATATATATAATATATATATATATATATTATATTTATAGCCATCAAAGGATCGGGAAAAAGGATGGTCATGGGATTTGGATGGATTTGGGGCCATTCTTCAGACAAATCTTCCGACAACCCAGGTGGGAAAACTGTTTTTTTGGGGTCTGCAAGGAGTTCGTTTCGATGCCAGACTCGTCCACTTTTTTCAAACAATCGCCAATTTGAAATACCGAACATATACAGGAAACGTAGGAAACCATTTTTTACTTTTTAGCTTTTCGGACATCCCATTTTTAGGAGTTTCTTGTTAACTTCCCCGCAAGCGAAGTCTTGGAAGAGGGCGAGAGGCTTTGTTTATTTCGTGTTTTTGGGTCCAGCTGGTGACCTTTTTTGTGGCGCCTGATCGGTGACAGCTGTGGTGAACCAACATGGCAATCCCTGGAAGATGTGTGATCTGGGTCATGATGTTTCTCCCATTGAAGCAGCTTGAACAACATGTGTCGGATCAACATTGGCTACCCCAATTCAATTTAACAACGCCAATGAATCTTGACCCATTTATGAGGTGGGCCATGGGGGCCCCCGGCACCCGTGCTTGATGCTTGTACTTTGGGGGCCCATGCTACCGGCAACATCGATGTAGGCCACTACTGTACATGATCAACATCCCATTGCTTTGGATCCTAATCTCGACTGTTCAAAGAATTTCTCACAGATTCAGACGGATATCTGGAGATTTTGGCCGCTGCTGAGGCCGTTCAACCTGGTCGTAGGTCATTCAAACGGGGTTTTAGCGGATGTTTTACGCCTGGGTTGATGCAGGCGATCCATGCTTGGATGTGCATACCATTTGCTGAAGTTAGCACGTTGCTAGCGGATGCTAGCGGGGCAATAAACATCAAAGGTACCTCTGTTTGAAAGAATAATCCTGGTTTATGGAACCATCACACAAGTAACCATAGAACTGTATAAATTGCATATTAAATTTACTACCAGTAGTACGGCACAAGGCGGTGGCGGAAGTTTCAAAAATAGTAAACCTATAGGAGAGGTTGATTGTTGTGAATCACGGATGGCAGAGCGAATCCACTGATGGACCGAAAGGTGGTTGGCGGTTGGAGTTGTGTTTTCTGGAGTGGCTGCAATGGTTGCAGTGGTCAATCCACCACAACTGCTGGATGTAGTGTGGTGTAGTGCAGTTGTAGTTGTAGGTGTAGTTGTAGTTGTAGTGTAGTGGAGTTGTAGTTTTAAGTTGTAGTTGTAAAGTAGTGTAGTTAGTGTGGTGTAGTTGCAGTTGCAGTTGTAGTTGTGGTGTGGTGGAATTAGTGTAGTGTATTATGTGTATTGTAGTGTACTGTAGTGTTGTGTACTGTAGCGTGGTATAGTGTAGTGTGGCCTAGTGTTGTCTAGTGTAAAGTAGCGTAGTTGTAGTTGTAGTGTATTATCGTGCAGTGCATGCAATGTAGTGGTAGTTGCAGTTGTGGTGTAATGTAATGTAATGTAATGTAATGTAACGTAACGTAATGTAATGTAATGTAATGTAATTAGTGTAGTGTTGTGCAATGTAGTGTAGTTGTAGTTGTATTTGTAGTAGGGTATTGTAGTGTAATGTAGTGCAGCTGTAATTCTAGTTGTAGCGGTGGTGGTGGTGGTGGTGTTGTGGTAGTGGTAGTGGTAGTGGTGGTGGTGGTGGTGGTAGTAGTAGTAGTAATTGTTGTAGTAGTAGTTGTAGTAGTTGTAGTAGTTGTAGAAGTTGTAGTAATTGTAGTAGTTGTAGTTGTAGTGTAATTGGTGTAGTGTAGTGTTATTAGATGCAATTAGTATAGTGTAGCGTAATTAATGTAATTAGTGTTGTGTAATGTAGCGTAGTATATTTGTACTTGTAGCTGTAGTAGTAGTGTAGTGTAGTGGTACTTGTAGTTGTTGTTGCAGTTGTAGTTGTCTCTCTATCTATCTGTCTGCCTGCAAGCTTGCAAGCGAAGCTATTCTGCAAGACTTCCTCAGTTTTTGAACTTGACAACATCAAAAACGCAGCAATTCTGCAAGACTTCCTCGCTTTTTGAACTTGACAACATCAAAAACGAAGCAATTCTGCGAGACTTCCTCATTTTTTGAAGTTGACAACATAAAAAACGAAACAATTCTGCAAGACTTCCTTCAAAAATGGAAAGTTGAGTGCAGAGCTGACGGCCTCGTGCCCATGCGTTTTGCGATTTTTGCACTCCACCTGTCTGAAGTACTGCGCCTGCCACGAAAAAGTGATGCCAGGTCATACGAAAGTCTGCACCTCAGCAAACCTGAAGATCTAATGCTCCAAAATTCAACCCCTCTCAGGAAATCAGCGCCCTGACCTCCCAGCATCTCTGGTGAACATGTCTCTTGTATTGCGCCTGCCACGGAAAATGCATCTTTGCAGATCCTCGTCAAATGTCCCACTTTTGACACGGTGCACAATCCCTTGCGCCTGCCACGCGAAACGACATCTGAACGTCAAAAAGTGGTCCGGACCTGGTGTGTTTTGTACATTTTGACTTCGAAATGTGCTCCGCGCCACAACGGCGTGCACTTTTTCGACATCTCAACTTCCAAAAGTGGTCCGGACCTGGTGTGCTTTGTACATTTTGACTTCGAAATGTGCTTCGCGCCACAACGGCGTGCACTTTTTCGACATCTCAACTTCCAAAAGTAGTCCGTAGTTGAGGTGTTTTTAACATGTTTACTTCGAAATGTGCTTCGCGCCACAACGGCGTGCATTTTTTCGATAGCGCAACTTCCAAAAATGCTCCGGAGCTGAAGTGTTTTGTACATTTTGACTTGGAAATGTGCTTCGCGCCACAACGTCGTGCAATTTTTTCATCTCTCATCTGGCCAGCTGGCTCCGCACCCGCCGCTTTAGCGAGCTTACTTTTCGACCTTCCGGAGCCACAAATCATTGGAAAAACACAGTGTTTCGCGACTTTCCTACCTTTTCGCGCACCTGGATCTTCTTTCTTCTGAGGCTTTCTCTTCTTTGATCATATTTCTTCTTCTCTTCTCTTTGCTTGCTCTTGTCTTCCCATCTCTGCTTTTCATCTGTCCATATTGTCGGAAGTTTGACTTCTAAACTTCCTTCGATGAAATCACATTCATCTACCTCGGATCCGAAGCACCGCGGGTTTTGCCTACTGAGTTCTGCTGCTGCCTGGGTACCTCAGTGCTTTTGAGCGCACAGCGCTGGGCGGCGCGACAGGCAGCAGGCCTTTTGACAGCCGCTGGGTCGGGGCAGCCCAGGTCAACGGTTGGCAGGTTCCCTGCTGTTTATAAACCATGGTGGGAATATGGGGATGGGTCATGATGGGTCAAAGAACATGAAAATGATTGGTAAATGGGCCTTCATCCCCCCAAAAAAGGTATAATGTGGTAAACCCAATGCCATCAACCATCCCCAAAATCACCATTTTATGGGTGGGATTCCAATCATTTCCAATCGGTAGGTTTATGGCATTGGGTTTCCCACATTACAACTAAACTCCCTTCTCGACCCTGATAGAATGTATCGCAGTTGTTCACCTTGAGGGCTCAACAAAAAGGATGGTTTCAATATCATCAGGGGATGGGATTCCAGATATATCCACGCGCGAAGCTGGTGAACTTGCCCTTTCTTTTTTTAAACGAAGGTTTGTCCAAACATGTGGATTCATGGCGATGTTAATGGGGAAATTGATGATCAACTTGATCAAACATCACATTTCGGGGTACCCGAGTTTCAGACAAACACAGGTTTGATATGATTTGACTATTTGTTGATGTGTTTCTCCTCTTAGTGCAGGCCCTCCAAAGGCCAAAGGATCTCACCCAGCCGTACAATAGATGTAATTACTCTACATGTATATATATATATATATATACCAATGCATTGAGTTTGGCAGGCTTGGGTGTGCATGTATCATCTTTAAGTGAGCCAATGAATGCTATCATTTTGGCTCAAGTGGAGTTGAACCAAAATAGCATTCATTGTTTTTCTTTCTCGGTCTGGTAAGGGGTGACCTTCCTAGACCTTGATTGTTTCCAGGGGTGACCTGGTGGGTCGCAAGGGGTGACCTTGCATGCGGCGAAGATCCTTCATGCGGCTGCTTTCCTGGAGCTTAAGCAGCAGGTTGAGAGGCTGGCAAGGGAAGGGTCAGATCTGGCAGCCTACACTTGCTATGGGGTCGAAGTTTGTCACTCCCCCTATGTTATGGCCACAGGGACCGATTCTGACCTGTTCCTCCCTTTGCCAAAGATGCCCTGTTGCGTGGAGAACTGCCAACGCTGCGCAGCCCACTGAAGGCGGGTTCAAGTTCCCGTGGCTCGGGCTTTGGAACAGCCGAGGCGTCGTGTTGCCGCCAGATGTGGCTCCCAACGAAGATTGGGACTACTACTACAGGCATCAGGAGAGGATGGACCTGTTGTTGGTGGGGACCTTCCCCAACTTTACGACAGCAGCCGACTTGGTGCCACAGGAGCTCTACGCCTTGCAGCTCAGGTGCTCAGCGGGTGACACTGGGCAGGTGGGCATGGGTGAACTCTTCGACCAATGGCGAACCTGGCTGGCTTGCATCGGCAGCCAGGGGATACTGGCCAATTTTGTGGAGCGGCGATCTTACCCGAGGGCGGAGGCCCATCGAACTTTGGCACCTGCACGACAGCGAGTGGCCGGATTGTGCTTCTCCGATGAGGGTAGGCCGTGGACCATCTTAAGATCCAGGAGACCATGCAGAGCGAGATGGCGGTCTTGTTGGACAACCGGAGGAGATCACTGCGTACTCCTGGCGTCGCATGGCTCCGACACTTGCGCAGCTGCTGGAGTGCCGCCCAGAGTAGATGGCTGCACTTGGAGATTGGCAGAACAAAGGCGATCAGGTTGGCCAGATGGCCTTCCACTACTCATCAGCGAAGTATGCAGCCTCCATCAAGATCAAGTCTTTGGTGTGGGGAGCCGCATCCAAGCTGACTGATCAGCTCTCTTGGGAGGCGATCCCAAAAGAGGAGCTGGACAGAGCTCGCGCGCATGGGCTGGCCGAAGCTGAGAGGCTCCTTCGTCAGACCGCCAGCCGATCTGGGCATCATCCCAGAAGTTCCAGGACGCGCGGAAGCGCCTGAAGTCGCAGCAGTTCATGGAGGCGGCAGAGAAGGTTCGACAAGAAGCAGATGCAGCGGCCTCACCTCTTATGCCGGATCAACTGAATGGCAAGGTGCTGACTGCCACTTTGAAGAATGGGAGGGCCATCTGCCCAGAGTTTCAGACAGGAGAGTGTCCGAATCCGGCTGATGAGTGCCCTTTCAGCGTCCATCTTTGCGCCATCCTTCAGAAGTGAGGGAGAGCCTGTGGAGGGAAGCATGGGGCGGGCGTCTGCCCAGCGGCCTCAGCTGTGCCAGCTGCTCCAAAACCATCAGCTACTCTGGTACCTGCAGCCTTGGGTGACAAGGCGCAGTTTACCAGGAAGAGAGCAGCAGCTGAACCTTCAGCAAAAAAACCACAGATGATGATGTGGCAACAGTGATGCGGGCAGCCGTGAAGAAGGCCCGTGGTGTGGCAGCACCCAAGACGCCACCGAAAGCGAAGCCTGTGGCGGCACCCAAGACACCCCCAAAGGCCATGCCGAAAATTCCGCCCAAGGCAGTAGCGAAGATCACTGGCGCCAGGCAAACCGCAGAGCAAGGCGGCAGCCATTCCCAAGACGGGAGGGGGACGACAGCCTGGTGCTCAGCTGGATCGTCACTTGGAGCGCTTGGGAGTTGGCACTGGCACGGCCCAGGCCCCTACTTGCTTCTGGACGTCAAGGAAAGGGGGCAAAATCTTCATAGCAGGGCTGCCGATGCGACGGACTGTGGACAAGTTCCCAACGACAGCGCTGCAGATCTGCTGCTTCCCGAACGGTCCTGAGAGCCGGGGGGGGTGACCCTTCCGGTGCTCAGCTCATGACCTTCGAGGCGGCCTGCAGCCAGGAGCGCTCTGAGCAATGGACGGATGTATGGCCGGCGGTGAAGCACACCGTGTGGAATGGCGATAACGAGGGGCGCCACAGAGGAGCATACCTGGCAGTGCTCTGCAGAGCTTTGCTGGCAGGTGAATCCATAGAAGCAGCCAATCGCTACATCGAAGATCGTCGCGACACAGAGCTGCACAAGGTGATCAAGGACCAGGGCATGAAGAAGTGGTTGCACAAAGCCTTCCAGGACACGGCTGTGGGGACCCAGCATCCTGAGACGCAGGGCTATGCAGCTACTGAACGGTCCAGCACACACGTGCGCGTAGAATCGGGCACAACATTGTGCCAGCACCAGCAGGCCGACGGGAAGGCAAAGCGCCTGGTGAACCCGTACGCCACCACTGACGTCTTCGAGGCACTGGCGTGGGAGCGACCTTGGTGCGACCAATGCCTCCGCCGAGCACCTGCCTCGTGGTGGCCACCGGCCTTATAGGCCTGATCCAGCCGAATTTTTGGCATTTGCGCTACTTAGCAGCACTGGCCCGATCCGGCTATGGAGAGCCGAATTCAGCCGCTCGGGGCCTGGATAAGAGCATTCGTTCCAGCCTGCATGACGCCCCCAGCAGTGACCTCGTGTGCGATGAAAATGGCACTGACCCAGTTGACACCTTTGCAAGTATAGTTTTGATGTTAGGTGGAAGGTTCTTGTGTCAGGTCTTGAGGTCAACTTTCCGCTGCGTTTGCATTGCTAGTCTGGGAGGGGCCCTCCTAAGATGTAGTGCAGTTGAGTGCAGCGCAACTTCATGAGGGTGAACTCATGACGGGTTGTAAAGGATGTTGACTAGCCCGGTACGACCAGCCCAGCACATCAGCCTGGTCATGCACCGATGGTCTGAGGAAGAAGTCGCCGAGTTTTGTCAGAATGACGCCTGGGAGACAGGCCAAGAAGACTTGCCATCTGCCTACAGGTACTGCCCCATGTCGCAACAGGAGAGCTTGGGCTGCATCGTGGTATGGTTTCACCATGAATGGCAAACCCCGCCGTACCAAGTCTACTCAGGACTTTTGTTTGGATTCCCGCTGGCAGTCACTTCCTCCAACAGATTTTCCAGACTGTTGGAAGCGCTGACTCGGCGGTATTGCCAAGTTTTGACATCCCTGTACTTTGATGACACAACAATCACCGACGTTCGGTCAGCCAAGGGCTCAGGCCAATGGGCAATGAACCAGCTATGTGTAATGATTGGATCCCCTTTTGCGGATGACAAGAAGCAAGCAATGCAGAGCTCTGGCACATTCTTGGGCCTGACTCATGGCCTCAGTTGCATCAACAAGACAGGCCATGTTCGCTTTTGGGCAAGTGACAGGCTCCATGACAAAGTTCGTGACATACTCGCCACAGCACGTCAAACAGGCCACTTCAGTCGAGGCACAGCATCCAAGCTCTATGGCCTTGCTAACTTCTTGGAACAAGGCATCTGTGGACGTGTTGGGTATGGCGGTCTTATGGCCATTAAGGCACGCCAGGACGAGAATACCACTGCCATGACCCCAGAGATTGAAGCCTGCTTCGAGGTGATGCTGTGACGCGCTTTCTGCCAAAACGTGAATTTCCAGTTTTTCGTACGGAGCGACTTCGCTTTTTGGCGGCATCAGATGCTGCAGTCGAAGCCGACAATCCAGGATCAGGTGGTTTCCACCTCATCTTTTTCCAACCAGACGGATCGCAAACCCGTCTCAGTTTTGTTGCAACCAACTGTGCAGAGCTCCAGACCCTATGCACATCGCCCAGTTGGAGCTATCTATGGTGTTGTACGCTCTGGTCGAGCGCCCTGACCTCTTTCGACATCGACACGGCCTTTGGTTTCTCGACAATGTCGCCGCAGTCATGACCCTAGTGAGCTGGTGTTCCAGCAATGCAGACTTAGCAAAGCTGACTTAGCAAAGCTAGGTCATTTGATCCACTTAGCCCTGTTTGCATTGCGAGCCCAGGGTTACTGTGAGCACGTTCAGAGCAAGAGTAACTGGGCCGATGACATCAGTAGACTAGGTGTCAATGATCCTTGGTGGCGCTGCCATGGATTCAATTTTTATTCGTCGTACCTTCCCACTATCCTTTTCCAGCTGCCTTTTCGTAGCAGTCATCCTCACCTTTGAATTCCTTTAGTGCTTTGATCCCCCTTGGAATTTCGTCTACAGAATCAGGACAGTTAAGCTGGGGCAAATGGTGCGTTTTAACCCCCTGCTTTGTTTAGGGGTACCTACCTACCCAGTGTCAACGCTTGCAATTTTATAGAGGACCTTGGGGTCTCTGATTCTATAGAGATTTCATGTTGAACACAGCACTGAGTACTAGTCAGCAGAGAGTCTTAGGTCAGCTGTCAATGAATGATACTTAGGGAGTCTGATTTTTATAGAAGGCCAACTAACCCCCCCAACCTAAAAAAGGCTCTACGAGAGTGACTTGGTGTCAGCAATTCTATAGAAAATGATGCTCATAAACAACCTCAGTGACATCAATTCTATAGAGATTGTCAACTTGAAAATACCTTGGGGTCTCTGATTCTATAGATGCATTTTCAGAAAGAGGGTCAGCGTCTCCAGAATTATCACTATAAAATTGCTGACACCAACACTCTCACTTAATTCAAAGGGGGATGTGCTTTGGGAGTTTTAGTGCGTTGGGTGATACCTGCAAGAGCTGACCAGTGGTGAAACTGGTCTGGGGCTATGTACGTGTCACACAGTGACGACCCAAAGCAACCTGAGGATTGCAGGTGAAACTGACCTACACTGGCAGAGCTGGGTAAAAAGGAATGCGAGTGTCCGTGCGGTACGGAGTTCATATGTCACTTTGAGATGTATATGTGTATACATGTATAGAAATGATTCAGAATGTACATTTGTAATTTCATATTATTATTACTAATTATTATTAGATGTTTATTACTATTTTGATTATGTAATATAATATATAATGTAATATATATAAATATATTAAATGTATCACATAGATATGTCTACAGAGAGGTTGAGGCGCCGAGGCTCTTGGAGACTTTCATGGCAGCATTTTTGTTTCAGGGGGAAGAGGATGGCTGTTTCGGTTCGCAAGGAGTTCACTGTTGATGTTCAAAGTGTAGCAGGCTCAGCTGACTGGTCGATCGTTTTATAAATTGCTATTCATCTTTTTACTTCCATCGGTGGGATCTTCAACTGTGTTGCTATCCTTCAACAAATGGAGATCCCCAGTCAGATTTATCGTTGAGATGATCCCCAGTGATTTCCCTCAGCTGAGCTTCTCAACGGCTCCATGGTATCTCGGAGCAGTTCAGATGCCCTCAAGCAGTTTGAAGATCTGCCGGGCTTTTCGCGATTGCCTTGCAACCCGTGACCCAGCTGATGACTGGTGCTGTTTTTGCAGTTTCCAGAAAATGAAAAACATACATAGGTCAGGCATGAAATCTGGTCAGTTGGTGGTTTCAAATCTCTTTCATTTTACCGCTTAAGTGGGATGATTCATTCCAACTGACTTTCATATACATCTAAATTCACATATGTATATTATATAAAAATGTATATGTACATATATATATATATATATGTATGTACACACATATATGCATATATATATATATAATATACATGGCCAAGTTGCATGGAGCAACAACAGCGGCTGTCATACCTCTTCATATGTTTATATTTCATATTCAGTCCTGTTTCTCTTTTGCTTGTCATCGACCACGCGCTACCAAAAAGGTGGGTATAGAGTATAGAAGGGGGATACTATATATATATATATATATTGTAAAATAATATATAATATATGATTGAATAAACTATTATATATTATATTTTTATTTTTATATTATACAATATAAAAAAATATATAGTATATATTATACATTTTATTTTTAACATATAATATATAATATATAATGTATAATATGTAATATGTAATGTATAACAAATAATATATAATATATATATAATATATATATATAATATATTTATAATATATATATATACATATAATGAATGTATATATATATATAACATTAAAAAATTGGAGCCTGGGTGGCTCAACCACTGGATCTGAGGTGCCTTTTCTTCCGCTCACCCTTTGGGTGCAAGAAGGGTGCCGCCTGCGCTTTCTGTCACCATGAAGTGACGACCAGGGCACAGGCGAACCTGGAACGACCTCGACAGGCTGAGCGACAGAGAATCCGCGTGTCTATCCTGGAGCTTGTCGCAAAGCTGGATGTGGAAACTCAGCAACCACAGGACCTGGATATGGGTCTGAAAATAGTTGAACCCCCTGACATGTTTTTTTTAATGGAGAAATGATGATTGACTACAGTAATTGACTATCAAATTTAGGGGTACCTATTGACAAACCCGCAGGGTGCAGTTTTCGCATGGCATTCTTTAAAGGTCACCCAGATTCATGTGGGGAAACCCATTGAAAATGACGTCCATGGATGAATTGCTGAACATGGGGGAGTCTACTTTTTCGAGCAAATGAAAAGCATTGGGGACATGATGGGACATGTGTTTAAATAGCAAATGCAGCGCACAGAAGACACCCTTTTCTGAGGGATTTATTTTTACATGGGTCAAAGTTTCACTGCTCGGTGGCTGCACACCATCTTTGTTTGGGCTGATGCTTGTTGCATGTGCTCCATGCACGCTATACTGTCCCATGTTTACATCTAACAGACATCCCAAATGTTGATGAATATGCCACATATGATATGGTTGGTACCTTGTCACCTTGTCCCCCCTTGGGGGGTTTTGATTCAGACATTTGATACGCCAGGACATTGTGCATCAACTGCAGCTTGAAGCCCAAGCTTCGGAATACGCTCGGTGTTTCTGCCAGACTCAGTTGGCAGGTCTACTGCATCAGCTACAAGAAACGTTGCTGGCAAGAGGTTTGACCCTGCACAAATGCAGGCACCAAGGGACCTGCGGAGCTCTGCTGTGCTTTTCCGTGTGAGACCTGCGGAGCTCTGCCGGGCTTTTCTGTGCGGGCTGGGTGCGCCCGCGCCAGGTGCCCAGACATCGTGCCCTGGGATGTTTTTGTGAATCATCCCGTGTGCGACTGAAAATGGGGGATACCCCCCCTCCATTTTCTGGTCGTTTTTTGTCTTTCATGGATAAGCCTTCAATGGTTCTTGAGAAACGTGCGTTGCTCCATGCTCAGAAAAAAGTCGCTGTGAGGTATGGTCGGCAAACTTGAACAAGGAGATTTTTTCCGGGACAACGCAGGTAAATACTGGATAATTTTAAATCAACATACATCATAATCATCACATACTGTACACCAGAATCATAATTCATCATATCTATTTATACAATTTTATACATATAGATGTCTAAACTGCAACTCTTTTCTTGAAGTTTCCAGTTCTGCATTTGATGAGTCATCAGAGGGCACGGGGCACCAGCCAATGGGCCAACTCTGAGACCTGCAGTGTTTGGAGTCACCATCATTCTTGTTGAGTAGAACTATATTTAATAGATGCAGTTGGCCTACCGAGCGTATTGATTTTACCCGAACTCCAGTCTAGGATTTCTGATGCTTGAACTCCACCATTTCTTTGGCTCAGTCCAGAGGGTCTAAAATTGGGGATATCCTTTGATTCGCAATTTTTACTGATGAACAGGATTCTAATAAGAGAAAATAAGAGAAACATGGATTTTCGGCCTACCTTATTTTCAGACAACATCCACATGGGTTTGTTGCCACCTATGGTCCCTGAAAATCCACGGGATTGAAAATGAAGCTTCCGTTTGTTTTCATTGAAACCCACACTATGGTCCAACAGATCCACAAATTGTCCGTGAAATACTCCCCAGGAATATTGTATACTTCCCAATTTTCTTCAAATTGTTTCGAAATCCCTCAGTTTTTCAGCTTGTGAGAACAAAAGCGCCCAGCCATCAAGGCGTTGCTTTACCTTCGACTCCGAAGCCTCTGGGCTGGTACCTGGAGAGGCAACGGCGGCGCTGATGCTCAGGCCAGCCGGGATTTAGAAGGGTAAATTTGGGGGAGTTATCACCAAAAGTTGGGCTTGTATATAGGTTTGAGATGGTTTTACATGGTTTTACCATGTTTATATGTATTTATATAACCTGAGGATTTTGGCCAGGAGGAGCTGTCAAACGCGGGCATTTCATCACCAGCCTAAAATTGGCATTGTACCAGCAACAACATTTACTAACTAGGTTAAATATGGATTTTATAGATATATCTATAGTCAATGCGTTTACAAACCAACTCAGCTATCTAGGGAGCCTCACCTTGTACTAATTAGTACGTATCCACAGGAATGAATGGATCATCAATGAACATGGGAGGGATACTGTATCCTCATCTCAAAACGACTGAGAATTTTTTTAGAACTGTGTAAGTTACCCTTTTTTTGGGTAGACGTCGGTGTGTTTTATGACTGCTGGTGAACTGACTGGTGACAAGTGAATGACAAGTTGCTACCTGGATAGGAGACCCAACAGATCAAAAAGACATCAAAACGATCTATATACCTATACTATCCTATACTGCCTATACTTTATACATGTAGATTGGCTAGGTGATGAACATCTTCCCAAGATTCTCGCAACACCCACAAGCCGAGGCCATTTGCAGCGAGAATCATGGCATCGAGTGTGTATGTGCCAGAATTTAGGGTCCTGGGAACTATACCTTTCTTTAGTTTGATTTCAGCAGTTGTTCCTCCATTTTGATCCACTTTCTGGGCACTGGGTAGCCAATTCAATCGAGTTTTGTATGTAACATTATGTAACCATAGTTCAGCATGAGAATTAAGCGAGATGATGTAACCATCATATGGTTGATGGTAATTATTTATACTCTATTATTTGTCATAAATTTCAAATAACCATTATTTATAGTTGAAAGAATTGATATTTAACCATAACTAACCATTTATCATGTGGGATGCATCAAATGAAATCATCATAATTCATCCAATAGGATTCTACTCGCAGGAGAGAGGCCGAAGATAGCAAGGCCGGGCGGCAGAAATTGGAATCTCACCAGCAAAAAAAAGAGGAATCAACTGAAACAAATGGTGATTAGCATGGTCTGAATAACAGAAATGGGATTTGAATAGGGATTTGAGGGCACATCAAGATGTACACCATTTCAAAGAAATGACTTTCCAGCCAGCCATGGGCGAGGCTAAACCTTGCTGATATGGTCCAAACAAAAAAGAGTTGATGATTTCGGCACTTGAAGCAAGGACTGGTTGAATTATGTTTTCAATAGGTAAACCATGGTAAACCTATGAACTTTTGCACGGGTCAACTGATGAATTTTACAGGTATTTAACGACACCTTTGGCATGGTTATTCCTTCATTTGGGTAAATTATAACGACCTCACTGCGATCTCACTGGAATGATGGTTGATCCAAATATTGCCTTATTTCTTGTAAATAGGGTTATATAGTGTTGATTCCCATTACTGTATAATAATGCGTATTATATCAACCCTACAATAATGGTTATCAACCCTATCAACCCTATTGATTAGTGAATTCTAATTTCCCCAGATTCATGTCGTGTTGAATAGTGGTTATCAACCCTATTAACCCCTATTTTCACCAGATTTTTATCATCATACTTGGACAATCAATCGGGGACACCTTTTAGGTGTACCATGGAGGGGATGAAGATCCGCCACTTACACCAAACTGCCGAACTGCTGGGCTTTGGAGGGAACATGAACTATCAGGATTTCGAGGTCAACAACATGATTCAAATAGATGTATATATAATATTATTTAACAAATTATCATCATCATAACATATATATATATATTATATTGTATATAATATATATTATATATATAATATATATAATATATATGATATATATGATATATGTAATATATATAATATATATAATATATATAATATATATAATATATATAATATATATGATATATATTATATATAATATATATTATATATATATTATATATATTATATATATATATATTATATATATTATATATATACTATATATTATATATTACATATATAATATATATTATATTATATATATTATATCTATTATATATATATATTATATTATATATATTATATATATATTATATTTTATATATTATATATATTATATACATTATATATATATTATCTATATTATATATATTATATGTAATATATATATATGTATATGTATATGTATGTATATATATACACGTATATGTATATATATGTATATGTATATATATATATACGTATATGTATATATATATATACGCATACGTATATGTATATATATATATATACGCATACACAGTACATGTACTCAAATCAAAACAGCCTGCCTTGTTTGGGAAAGTCCTCTCTCTATATGAGCCCAGGCAGGAGTTGTTTTTTTTGGTGACAAAAAATCCCCAGGAATTCATCATCCCAGGAGAATCATCTAGTTGGCAAATTTGAGTTCGATCCCAACACATTTTGGAAAACATGTTTTGTTTTTTGTTTTTTAATTTGGGGGATCTTTTTCTTGCCCAACTGGAACATCATCAAAGAAGCAGCCACATACCATCCCCAAATCATCCAAAAAAAATCATACAATCATCCAAACATCATCCAAAAACATCAACACTTGGTCAGTTGTATGTTGTGCTGCTGTAAACACATTCGAAGATCATCCACACATCATTCCACTGCAAAAAGCCAAACTTGTCAGAACATCACCACCATCATCCGAAAATTGAAACATCAGTTTTAACTATATGGAACTATCTAAAATCAATCCAATGTTGATTTTAGATGATTTTAGTAGTTAACTATATGAAACATCAGTTTAAAAATCAACATTTTCTAATTTCACATATCAACTCCTCCAGCTGCCCAAGCTGCCCAGTCGATCACCCACTTCCTGCAGGTTTTGCTGGAGGCTTTGGCCCTGCAACACCTCGGAAGATCTGCCAGGTGTGGATGACAAACATTGAAACTTCTGGTCATTCACGGTCTAACATCATGAAAAACCATCAGAAATCTGGAGTTTCTGGAGTTGACATTGATTTAACGTTTTTTTAGCATTGAAAATTGGGATTTCATATGATTTAACCATGAGACCCATGGATATTTAATCATTCAAAACAATGATTTAAACATACTTCAAGCAGCGGGATCTGACCATCAGAAGATGGGGATGTTTTTGGACCCCTTGCAGTGGCTGTTGCAAGGAATGGAGGAACAATGTGATAGAGTGATGTATGATGTACGGGTGCTGATTGTATCTGATTGTATCTGATTGTATTGTTTTCATTGTTACTATTTGAATTCTAGTGTTTTGATGTGGTTTGAACATGTTTGCACTGCTTGAATCCACCATGGACAACAGCGATTTAAGTTCAGAAAGAGGAATGAGTCCAAGCCAGTAGGTACCTAACAAAGAATTGGACAGATTGGCATGATCATGGATTGCACAATCCCATTTCCCACATGAGCCTCGAAACAAGCTCAAGATGGTCCGATTGTGAGTCACACGGATTCCCCAAGATGCAGAGGACAAAGATGTCTTGAACAAAATCCGGAAGATATGTATATAAATCACTATAAATCGTTCTCTTGATCCTTGTCCCAGTATTCCAGTATTTTACTTTCCGAAGATGTCACGTCAAACATGACAAGCTACCAGGTTGTTTTGCTGGGACACCTCAGCTTTTCCTACATACATTTGGGTCTGAGTCAAGAGTCAAAGTCAGCTCGAACTGGTGAGAACAGTTCGAACCACGCAGACCGTTGATGCAACTGTTCCTGGTTAATGTGGATTAAGTATGATTATATACCCTCTGGTAAACTAACATCGCTATTGAAAATGGCCATTTATAGTTGATTTACCCATCAAAAATGGTGATTTTCCATAGTTATGTTTGTTTACCAGAGGGTAAACCTCCATTTTCCTATAGTTTTCCTATGATTTTCCCATTTTCCTATGGTTTTCCTATGGTTTTCCTATGGTAAATGCCAACTTTGATTCTCCGTCTGTATGGCTTCCGCGGCCAGCTTAACTTCGGGGAGTTCCTCTGCGGAGCAGGAGCTATTGGCAGAGGCAAAAAACCTCACCAGTCAATGACTGAGCAGTTGAGGGGATTGGATTAGATTTGTATAGGCAGGGGTTGGTAACTGTCCCATTTTGGGAATATTGGACGTCACCTTATAGTAGCCATTATAGACTATTATAGACCATAGACCTAATGGTTGGGTGATGTTCAATGGGGACATTTAATGACCCATGTAATAGGGGATTGGTGGATATTCATTTCCATCTATATATATACACATAATTTGTAGTGTGGATAGATTTTGGTGTAGATTGTACATTCAGGAGCTGTTGGATATAGCAATATCATACTCATAATATAAGATTATAGGGGATTCTATTTATAAAATCTCCAATAGTCTGGGTTTGAAACAAAGCCCCACTATTTTCGATGATTACTAAGGGGATTCGTCTATTCACTATATTGGGGATGATCATAATCCCAGTTCACTGGGAATCCCGTTTTCAACCAACCAGGATTTTCCATGGAATGACCTCTAGGTAGTTTGATGCCATTAAAAAAAACCTCCCATGAATCTGATCAAGACTTGTAAATGGGATTATCGATATTTGATTATAATCCCACATATTTATTGTAGTACATGTAGTAATATTTATAGTTATAATAATAATAGTCTGATTATTATAGTCTGATGATAAAAAACCGATTTTTGTAGTTATTCTCCCAAATCACAGTATATTAGATACATATATATTAGATACATATTCATTAGATTACAAATGGTAGAACTACGTAGGTATATAATCCAATCCCCCCAATACCAAATACCGCTAATTTGACTTGACGCCAATTCAAAAACAGGTGCAGTACATTACATTCTACCAGGGCTTTGTTTGGGTGTATATATTTAGTATTGGGGGGCAGAGAATGCTTAGGTAAATGGAGTTCCCGTTCATGAAACAGAATAATGGATACCCTGCAAATGATAAATCGATAGTGTATTATACTCAATCTGCTATTTTTTTTTCCTATCTTTGTGCAGGGTATCCAAGATTGGGCATGAGAATGGGCATCACCAGTTTTGTGGGCTCATTGGTGCCCCAATTTGGAGCAGCTATCCCATGGGATCCCTCTACAGTGGTGTGGCAGTGTAGTTGGCACGCTTTATATCCGACATCTAGTGATCGCTGTGCCGGCCAAAAGTGGCACTCTTCAGAACATTGCGGGCATCATTTTTTGGGGGTCCCAGATGTCTACCCTCTGGTGAACTAACATAGCAATGGAAAATCACCATTTTTAATGGGAAAATCCACTATAAATGGCCATTTTCCATTGCTATGTTAGTTCACCAGAGGGTACATGTTTAATTCATGATTTGCTGGTAGGCGTTGGCTGGCGCTGGCATCCGCCCTGCAAGTCTTGATCTGGCTGAGTGCAGTGGACGAGCGCCTTGGTGATCATATCGGTGGTGTCCCATGATGTATCCATTCACGTGTATATACTAGTACCATCTAGTACCTATATACTTGTATGTAATCATTATATATGTAGATGTATATGTATACATCGCAAACCATCGAACATAGGGATAACTGCATAGCAAAAGTCATGGCACAAACAACCTAGGACAAACTAAGAGAACTAAGTCATCACAAAGAAGTGCTTGGGAGAACAGATTGCATGGGATAATATGGGATAATATGGGGGTTAGTTAAGATCCTTTCCATGCGGAGCCATGGAGCTGAGCTTCTGTTCATCCTGGCAACCAGTGATATTTTGTCCCCACATTGATGGTAAATCAATGTACCTAAGATGATTTTCCAAGCGAACTACAGTAAACCTCCATTTGGTTCGAGGATTTTCCAGCCTGCCACGGTTGATTGTCGCTGATCTCCCCTTGACCCTGCTGGTATCTCGGGTATGGATTCCCCTATCCCACCCAACAATGGATAGTGAAGGT